TCCAGCAAAAGAAGAGGGTCCTAAGAGAGGAAGGCCAGGGCCGGCCCACAGTCAGGAGGGCCCTGGACCCTGATTGATCTGTGAGTTTCTGAAACCCCTTCCCTCCCCCAGATGGCTCCCATGGAGGTCTGCAGGGCAGGGCTGAGGGGGGCTCCCAGCCTGGAAGAGGAGAATTGGTAAGAGAGAACAAGAGTGAACACAAGAAGAAAGAGAGAGTGTGAATGAGTGTGAGAGAGAGAGAGAAAGTGAGAGGTAGACCAGAACACAGAAACAAATACAGAGGAAGTCTCAATGAACCGGACATAAACAGAGGCAGATAGCACTGGATGAGATGCATGCCAAACAAAACACACGAGAAGAGACAGAGAAGACAGACACCCCCACAAAAAGCAATGAACGGTCATGACAAGAGCCCCTGCTAAATGCCCCCAAACCTTCCCTGAGGGTCTTGCAGGACAGGCCACCTCTGGGTTTTAGCTGCCCTTCCTGTGCCTTTTCAGGCAGAGGGCAGTCCAGGTCCAGAAGGCCGGAAATTCCACCTGCAATGTAGCCTCCACTGCCTGAAAGAAGCTCTGGTCCCAGAGTCCATCCTGGTGCTGGAATGGCGGCTTTCTGAGCTAGTGAAAGGATTCGCACTCGGCTGACCTCGGTGTGTTCCGGCCTTTCAAACTCTGGGGGATGAGGGAGGGGGAGCGCGAGGGGACTTGAATGGGGGCCCTGCAGACAGGCGGAAGGAGGCCCCACCAGAGATCAAAGGCCCAGGAAGGAACAGAGGGTCTGGGGCTGCCCTTTCACCCATGGTCGCTATTCACAACCTGCCTGCTCTGCCAAGTCCAGCCGCGCCACCACCTCCTCTCGGCCTTCCCGGGCGGGAGGCACCATCTCAGCCTCTGTCCCCCTAGCCCAGCTGGATTCCTGAGGCCAACCCCACAGACTTCTCCATACGGGCTCTCAGGTTGGCCCAACTAAGAGACGAGGCTGCAAGCCACACCTGGGCAACACCCTAACGTGACTCTCAGAGCCATCCACAAGTCTCCTGAGCATCTTGCACTCTGGCCCTGTGCCAAGGGGCTGGGCTGGGGGTAGAAACACCCCTGTGTGCTGTGGCCCAGACAAGTCCATGTGAATGGCAGACTCAGACTCAGACTCAGGCAGCAGGAGGGAAAAACAAGCAGAAGAACCACTTCCAGACAGAGGGCAGGTACTGAAGCACGCACTGTCCAGCTTGTAACAGCCCTCAGAAGTTACCAGGTCCAAACCAGATTGTCTTTCATGGTTCTTCTGCCCCTCCTTTGTCCAGCCCCTGCCCACACCTCCACTGACGAGGAGCTCACTACCTTCCCTAGATAATGCTTCCCTCCTTGGCACAGCCTGGCATTGCCTGGAAGCTGCTCCTTGCACTGCTCCTTGCCCTGAGCCATGCTCTGCCTCCCTGTAGCTTCCTTCACTTGCCCCAGCTCTGCCCCCAGAGGCCCTGGGGACCTTATCTGCTGCCTCGGCCACTGACTAGTTCATCTGAGATTTGCACACAGTGGCCACATCCCCAAGGCTTGTCTTGGCGGCAAATGTCCCAGAGAGAATCCTAGACTTTCTAGACTGAAAGAGCACTTGGCAATCCAGTGGTCTAACAGTGTTCTAACTTAACCGTTTTTCTACAGAACTCTTCACTCAAGCAGAGTTTTCTGTGGAAGCTCAAAATATCCAACAGAAGTGCTCCTGGTTGAGACCCTCCACACACGCTCCTCACCAACTGTGAACCCTCTACAGACATGTGACTGACCCGTCGCACCAAGGAGCATGTGTTGAGCATGTACTAGGGGCCACACACTTGTGTTCAAGCAATCTCACCCAAGACCGCAGCCACTAGCAACATGTGGCAACTGAGCACTTAACGTGTGGTTAGTGAAACTGAGAAACTAAATTTCTAGTTTTATTTTATTTCAATTCATTTAAATTTAACAACAGAAGCAGTGGAAAAAAACGTTTTCTCAATAAAGTGTCACTTCCTCTAAGAAGCTTTCCCAGATCCTTTTGGTCAAACTTAGCCCCTCGCTGTCTTGCTGTGCGTCTGCGTCATCCCCCCATCACATCACCTCACCCACCGCTCTCTAAAGGGACTTGGGGCCTGCCAGTCTTGGGGCCCACACCGCCTGTGAGCTCTAAAGGGCAGGCCCTCTGTGACTAGACCCACCGCTGCCCTGCGGCCTGGGCAGAAGAACGACACCAGGAAATGCCCACCAGGCAAAACCCAAGTCCAAGTTGGAGATGCCTGTGAACCAGAGCTGAACAAAGGACTCCATCTCATGGAGTCCCAGTCACCTCATCTGAAAAAGGGGGATGAGAACACTCAGTAGTCTTCCTCTTGCTCCCCAATGCTTCTTTTGCCCCATGGCTCCTCTCCCAGGCTGCTGAGGTCCCCTGAGAAAAACGGTGCCAGCCCTCCAGGTCACCTGGCAATTCCCCTGTGTTTCCCCAGTGGCTGGTTCTTGCTCTCTCACCACACTCTGACCATGCCCTTCTTCTGGGAACCCTGCTTCACACAGTCCCCAGGCTCTTGCCCAGCCACAGGCTGCCCCACCTCCACCGCTCCTGTCTGGAGGGGCTGAGGGGCAGCCGGTGGCCAGACAATACCAGAGACTGAGGCCTCAGGGGCTCTCCAGGTCCTCTTGACCCCCTAGGGCACGTAAGCCTGTGGCTTTTCCAACTTTAAGGAAAGTTTGGGCCTCAGTTTCCTTCCCTGTAAAACAGGGGTAGCAATCTGCTTCTTCCAACTCTCCCTGAAGCCAATGCAAGGATCCAAGGAGATACCGAGTGGGGGAAGGCAGCAGGGAGCACTAGGAAGTGCTCCTTCCAGACAGTGTTGATGTGAGCAAGGGCACTTCTGCCCCCCTCTCTGCTCAACCGTAAACACTCTCCCTGATGCAGGGTGGGCTCTCGCTGCTGTTTAGCTTTCCTATTTTCCCAATCCTATAGACTTCCAAGACCATCAAATCATTCTCCCTTAGCCTCCAGACCACAGACTGGGTTACCTACCAAGTCTTTCTGGGGATCAATCACAAATTTCAAAACTGGGAGGATGTCAAAGAGCATCCAATCCTTCACCTGATTCCTTGTGACGTTGTACAGCAGGCCAGAGAGTGGCCACCTAGGCTTTACTTACATAACTCTAGTGACAGGGAACTCATTACTTCCCAAGGCAGCCCCTTCTCACCTTAGACCATTCTCATATTTACCCAGTTTTTTTCTCTACTGAGCTGGTCTCCTCTGCATCTGCCACACACTGGCCTTGAAGCCACAAAGCAAAGTCTCACGCCTCCTGCCTTCCATGTCAGCCCTCCAAATATCTGAAGGGAATAATCCAGTTTTGCTCATTCTTCTCTTCTTGCCAAAACATCCCCAGAGCTCTGACGTATTCTCCAGATCCCCTCCATTCAGGTCACACCCCTCTGGATACATCCTAATTTGTCACTGTCCCCGTGAAAGGTCAATACCCCAAACGGGCCACAGTCCTCCAGAATGATCTGCCCAGCACAGAGCAATCTAGACTGACAACACCTACATGCTGACCATTCTGCACCTTTTAAAGCAGCTTGCAAGGCTAAACTATGACCGCTGCTCAGGGACTGGAAGCCAATACAGCACTCCACAAACACAGTAAGCCAATCCCCCAAATCAGGACATGTCTGCTGGGCGGTAAACATCAAACAAGATTTTTCTCTTCCTCCAAAAATCTGTGCCTGGCTCCCTCAGCCTCCGAGGGAGCTGCACCCAGCTGGCCCCTCCACCATGATCAGACACAGCCCAGCCCCAGCACGGCACATCTGCTTTGAGTCCAGGTGACCACTGGAGAAAAGATGATACCGTCAATCCGGGCAGCCAAAAGAGAGGGTAGGCCCACCGCCTCCTGCAATAGCACTACGCAGCCTCGCGCTGAGTTGAAGACCGCTGGCACGGGCTCTGAGTGTCAGGAGCAGGGGAAAGCAGGGAGGCAGGGTCCCAAAGCTATGAAGCACCCCAGGCACCCCTGCAGCTCCAAACAGAGGCCACAGGCTCAGCTTCTGTGATGCCTGGAACACACAGACACGCAATCTACCGCTGGGCCGACTCAATTTTCTAGTTACAGATCTTAAGTACTTAGGCATGTGCACGCCAGAACATACATCCCTTACAGAGAGCTGAGCTGGGAAAGGGACCTGTGCCAAGGAACAGAATAATTGAATCAAGATTCTGTCATGCTGCTCTCAGGCCCTAGACCAAGGCCTTTCCCCCACCTTTCCTGAGTAAGGTTTTACCTTCCAGGGGTCACTTTTCCTCTCAAACCCATTAATGTCAGTGGCACTGGCAGCCTGTCCATGGGAAAGGAGAGCTGGCTTAAGGTGGGCCAATGTCCAGGACAGGGCAGCCAGCTCTAGAAGCCCCAGCTGGTACCACAGAGGGGTTGAAAAACCAATGGGAAGATTGTCATCTCTGTATCCCCAGGAGGCCCCTGCACTCCTTCCTTGCAGGCCCCAGATCAGAGATGCGATGATTAACTTCCTCAGCCCCCACCATCACCATCCCTGGAGGCCTTCTCCTGAGACAGGTGTGCACAGCCCACCCCCTGACCTACCCCTTGACCCCTCCCCCCGTGTGTGCCCTCTCACTGCAGGACACACAGCCCCTCCCTCTTCTCAGGGCTCCCTCACAAGGGGACACCGGGAGTTGTGCTCATACCCTCCACACCCTGCATCACATCTGTACTCCAAAGTCTTCCTAAAGGTCACAGGGTTCTGCCAAACACTCCTTTCTCCACTCAAGGGGTAAAGATGGGGGAGGCCAGCGAGAAATCCACAGCCCCAGCTGGCTCCCTGTCTGCCCCTCCCCGTGTCTCCTGGTCCAGAGAAGGGAATGGGCCTGAGTGGAGGGATTCAGCGGACATCTTTGCTTCCACCGCCAACTGAGCACCCTGAAGCAGATGCCGCCGGGTCCATCCTGGACCGGGCTGTGCCCGCATCTCTTACCTTCATCTCTCTTACGTTTGTTGGTGTCAGCGCTGGGGGACGTGATGCCCAGGATGCCGCTGATGGAGTACGAAGAGCCGGCGGAGTCCGTGCTCACCGAGGACACCTGCGTCACGGAGCCCGTGGACACTGTGCAGAGGGAGAGGGGCAGTCAGGGCCCGGCAGGAGACGAGCAGAGGCAGAGGGCTGAGACAAAGGCACTCATCCTGCACTGAGCTGGCTGTGACTGCTGAGCAAGCAAGTGGAAGTGCAGGGACAGGGAAGAGGGCGTGTGCTGAGGACATTCATCCTAGGGCAGTGGCCACACCTGGGCGACGAGGGGTTCTCTGCTGCTGGGGAAGATGACGGGGGAGGGTGGGCAGTGAGGAGGACTGAGTGCAGACCGAAACGAGGGGCAGTGTAAGAAGGGCACTAGCTCAAATCTCAGCCTGTCCCAGGACACAGGAAACAGGATGGAGAAGAGAAAGGGGTGCACTGGAGCCCACCCCAGCCAGTGCTAAAAACGACCTAGACGTACTCATTAGGCAGGTCCACTCCCTGCTGACCTACCCACCCATCCACGCAGACACAACCTGCACACTCACACGCAGCCACCAACGCTCCAAATGGCAGACTGTCCCTTCTTTCTACAGTTCCTCACTGCCTTTCTCCTTCCAGTTACCTAGATTTTAAGATTAATTACATAATATTGATACAGTACTATATATAACATATAATTGTATTGATATATATAATAATGATAACTAATATTTTCTGAGAACTTACTCTGTGCCAGGCACTGAGGCATTATCTCATTTAATTCTGAGAATAATCTTATAAGCTAGCTCATGTTATTATCCCATTGAAAAGATAAAGGCGCCAAGGCTCAGAGAAAGTAAGTGACTTGTCCAAGGTCACATAGCTAAATAAGAGGCAGAGTGGTGACTGGAACTCAGAAACTAGTCTTAACCCCTATAGTAATCTGCTCTTCACTGATTAATAATGAAAACCAATAATATGCTTCACATAATGCAGTGCTCTTCATTTGATGCTTGCTACAACCTAGAGTGCTATCATGTAGCCCCATTTATCAAATGAAGAAACTGAGGCTTCACAGAGGTGAAGCGATTTGCCCCAAGTCATCCAGCCAATACGCAGTAGCACCAGAACGCAGCTACAGGCCTGCTGACCCTCAAAGTCTAGCTTTCCCCTGCCCAGAAGTGTAGGCAGAGGACAGTGACTTGTGACTGAAGCCAGATCTCCAAGTTCTTAAGGGTATGAATGGGGGAGGGGAGGTTTTATGTAAGTTTCCCATCCACTCCTGGCCCCAGAGACCAAGGGAGGGAGAGGCCAGCCAGCCAGGCGGTCATCAGGGTCCTCTCAAGCTGTATAGCTGCATTTCCATTTCTGGGCTGTGGGAATTCTTTCTTGGTTCATTAAAACCTGCAAACCAATCTCAGACACATTTCCTTGGGCTATAACTAGCTGGAGGCAGGTGGAGCGCCTTTGACGGGGAACCGGAGGAAATGCCTAGGAACGGGCGATCCGCGAGAAGCCGCTGCTTCCCGCGGAGCCCATCCTGCCCTTGCTCCTACCGACCTAGAGGGAGCAGTGCCTTTCTTCTCACGTTCGGAGTTTGATTTTAGATCTTCCTTAGGAGACACAGAAGTAGAAATCGTTAACTTCTCTTTTCTTTTAGCAGAAGAAGCTACTCAAAATAGATTTATGCAAATCTCACAACCTTTTCTGTATTAACGCAAAGAAGAGAGGAAGAAGGAGGATCACAAGCCATTTGGTACTTTAAACAACAACAACTACCTATAACCAAGGCTCACCATGTTGCCAACAGAGCAGAGGAGATGAGTTCCAATATTTTGTGATTACACTAGACTCAGAAGACCCAGATTCCAATTCTTGCTCCACCATTAGCTGGCAGTGTGATCTTGGGCTAGTTATTTAATCTCTCTAAGCTTCCCTTTCCTCATTCCTCATTAAGCTTGTAAACTGTAAGGGGCTGTACACACATAAGAAATGGTTTTTATAAAAATTTCAGACACAAAACAAAGCATTCTGCTACCTACAAGTAGAACTATTCCTCTAACACAATTGAAGGAATATTATCAGTTACTCTTAGTTTGAAATGCATTGCTAAGGGACCTGAACCAGTTAAAAAGCTACCCATGTGAAATCTCAGCCACAAACATTTCCCCAGGAGCCTTCCTCAACCCTCTTGACCCCAGCCCAACAACACCCCGAACTTTCTTCTTGAGCTTTACCTCAGGGTTTTGCAAACTTCTCTTTGTTACATTCCCCCATTAGACTGAGAAGCCCTTGAGAATAGGGATTTTGTCCTGCCTCCTAATTAAAACACTACTCTCCAATGCCAAGGTCTGTATAGCAGGGGCTTAGCAAACACTTTTTTAATTGATTACTAAATGAAGAATGGTTTTACGGCAAGGAAGAATTCTGTCTTACCTTCATCCAAAGAGACAACCATGGAGGATCAGAGACCTCAGAGAGTACCTGGTTTGCGTCCTTACATCCACAAATGGGGAAACTGGGGACTTACACAGTTTACTAGGTGAGTTCGTGACAGAGCTGGAACTATAAGCCAGGGCTCTGCCTGTCCCCCATCACCATGAGTTCAAGTTTTCAGTTAAAGGAGTGGCAAAAAAGTGGCAAAGGTGCGGAAATGGTACAGAATCTGAGGTGTGATTAAGTGGAATCGACAGGGACTGTGGAACCAGAACTGTCAGACACTTGCTGAATGGTTGCCCACTTTCTTACAGTAGAATAACCTTTCCCCAGCTAACTAGAGGAGTTTCCTTTATCCCAAGTGGAGAAATAATATGCCTTAAATAGACACATGCCATTTTTTTCTTAGTCTTTGCAGAGAAGGGAAGGGCAAGGGAAGCATCTGAACTCTTGAGTATAGTTGACCCTTTAGCAGCAGGGGTTTGAAGTGCGCGGGTCCACTTAGACATGGAATTTTCTTTTTCAGTAAATAGATAGACAGGCCTCTGTATCCCCTGGTTTCACATCCACAGAGTCAACCAACTAACCTTGGATTGAAAAATACTGTTTTTGATCCCTAGTAGGGAATCTGCAGATGCAGAGGGCCTACTGTATGCATTGTTCTGCATACAGTTAAGGGGCTTGAACATCACAGATTTTGGTATCCGTGAGGGGTCCTGGAACCAATCCACTGCAGGTATTGAGGGACACTGAAGTTTGGGAGTAGTCAAAAGTTATACTCAGATTTTTGACTGTGGGAGGGGAACGAGGGAGAGCGGTGTACCTCCCCTAACCTCCTCGTCGTTCAAAGGTCAGTTAGTAGGAAATACAACTCCCATTCTTACGGGTCCATGGTCACTCTCAGACTTCACCCGAGTGTCAGAAACGCCACTGGCAGCCTCTAACAGTTCAAAGAGTACATGAGATCGAAGCAAGGGAGAAAGTTTGAGAAGTTTCGCCACATCTTCACTCAAGACTGCAAGTGCACAAAGAATTGTAGAAGGGCTGGTTGATAGAAGAAAAAAAACACATTCAAAACTACTTACTGACTAATGATGCAGAAAATGTTATGAATAAGTACCCCTTTCTTGATTTATTACTTTAATTATCTGACATTCTATAGACCCCCATTAGTGGTTTTTTTTTTTTTTTTTTGGCTTAGATTTCAATTTTCTGTCTCATGCTGAAAGCTATTTATCATAATAATCAGTAAAATTCAAAACCTTTTAGCAGTATTTATAAAATTCATTTACCGGGTTCAGCCCTTGGAGAATGACAAAGAAGGCGCATTAGTACGTGTGCTGAAGTGTTTTATGCAGAATTATCTATCCATAAGAATGATTAAAAGTTCTTTAGAATATTTGGAGCCCATACGATTTTCAAAAAATTTTTGAAGTTCTTACCAATGCTGTGACTGGAAGCTGGGACCGGCTGGTTGGGTGGCTGCTGAACTTTTGTCCGGATGATCCTGTGGTCAGTGGGAAAAAATAAATGGCTATTTACCATGATAGAAAAGATATCTCAACTAGCTCGGACAACCAGAAAACCCACATCAAGCTGGGTCACAGGTCAAGCTGGGGCAGACAGTACGGGAGATTTATGAACCCAAGTCAGGTGTTTGGGGGTTGGAAGAATGATGGGCGAGTCCCAACTCAGCCCCTACCTCCCTGGATGTCTTGGGGTAACTTATACCCTTCCCTGGGCCTCAAGTGTCTCTTGTATAGAAAAGAATGATGTGTTGATATTATGAAGGCATTCCTTCCTCCAGAGCACTCCAGCTCCATAAATTCACTAAGTGACATTAGGGAGCTCCCTCCCTTCCCTGGACCTCAGAGAGCCATGGGAGGAGTGACATCCCGCCCATCGGAAGGCGATGTGTGAGATGCTTTGAAACTAGAAAGGGTTAAAGTGCTGCCAAGAGAGGCTTGGCTTGGCTTTGCAAAGAAAAGCCTGCAAAAACCTGGTGGAAAAGTTTCACGTGCTAGGAGCCAGGAATACTCTGGCTTACCTTTCCAGGGACCTTGCTTCAGTTCTAATAGGAACCTGTTCGTGACCATAGGTAAGTCCGTTCCATTGTGGGCCTCAATTCAGTGAAGGAGTTAGAAAAGAGCACTCTTTGCTTACTTGAACTGAATCCTTCACACACACACACACACACACACACACACACACACTCACTCTTATGGAAAAGCCCAGTGTACAAAAGGGATAATAGCGGCACTGTCTTCCCTTTGCCGCCTGGCAGCTCTGATGTCCTTCTGCAGAACCCTGGGCTCTGTGAAGCTTACTTTATAAATTTCCAGCTGGGACAATGCATGGGGCTTCCACGAGACCCTAAGGCCCAAGACCCTAAGCCCCGTGTGTCAACCAGGGCAAAGCCAAAAGTCCCTTTGGAGTCTGCAAGAAAGTTCCTTCCCTGGCATCTGGGAGAAGGGTGGTGGTAATAAAATGTTGAGCTTCTTTGGGAAAGCTCTAGTTCAGCCTCCAACTATTCTCTTTTACAAAAACATTTATTAGAATTTTTCTTAATCATAAAAGCACTTTGTGCTCATTAGACTATCTGGACAACAGCTTTAAAGAGACATCTAAAACCAACTTTTGTTGTACAGTTGACTCTTGAACAGCACAGATTTGAACTGCACAGTACATTTACACATAAATTTTTTCAATAAATATACAGTTGACCTTCAGTATCTTCAGGTTTCACATTCACAGATTCAACCAACTGCGAATCAAAAACAGTACTTCATTTTTTAAATTATTGACAGTATTACAGATGTCCCCAATACCCCCCTTCGCTTCCCCAAAAACAGCATTTTCAATCTGAGGTTGGGGATCTGTAGCTGAAGAGAGCCGACTACGTGCATTGTTCTACACCATTTTATATACGGGACTGGAGCTTTCCGGATGCTGTTATCCGCGAAGGTCCTGGAGCCAATCTCCAAGGGATACTGAGGGACAACTATAGTTAAGTTTTTAGGGAGTCAAAAGTTATATGTGGATTTTTGCCTGCTCAAGGGTCATCACCCATAACTCTTGCATTGTTCAAGAGGCAACTTGCCCTGGCCAGTTTGGCTCACCAGCAGAGTGTCGGCCGGAGGACCAATAAGTTGTGGGTTTGATTCCAATCAAGGGCACATACCTCGGTTGCGGTTCGTCCCTGGCCCTAGCCGGGGTCATGTGGGAGGCAACCAGTTGATGTGTCCCTCTGACATCGATGTTTCTTTCTCTCTCTCTCCCTTTCTTTCCCTCCCACTCTATCTGAAGATAAATAGAAAAATATCCTCAGGTGAGGATTAAAAAAAGTCAACTGCATTTCCTTTATGCTAACATTCCTGTGCATATTTGGAAATATCCTTTTTTTCTCAACAGAATCAAGATTAAATCATGTATACAGTTTTGTATCCGCTTTTTTCACTCAACACTATAGGAAAACCCTTTCCACATTCCAGACCATTGTTTCTGGAAGTTTGTGTCAAGCTGCACTGGGTCTCCAGCGTGTGCAAGTGAAGAGGAAGGACAGATGTGGCAGGTGCCTCCTCTTAAACTCATCGGGCTGTCTGTCGCCCTCTGTGATCTCATGGCTCAGCACTGGGCACCGAGGGCACTCAGTGTCCTCAGCTTGTAGCCTGTACTGAATGTTTCTCTTTACACCACAGCCCAGCCACAGGCCCTCTGGAGCCCAAGCCACCTGAGCCTCCAAAGCCTCTTGCCTGTTTCTGACAAATCAGCATGAGAATTGCCTCAGTTACATTCACAGTGTGTTTGTTTTGTTTTCTCCAACATTTAAACTACTTATTTTCACTAAACAAACATGGAGCATATTGACAATGACCTGGGATTGAGGTAGTCTTTTTGATCCCCGGAATTAAGCTAGCATCTGATCTAATCTTTGTATTTTTGTCTATGTGACTTTCTGTGTGTGTGTGTATGTGTGTGTGTGTGTGTCTAAAGAGATATATAGCTATGTGAACATATAAACATACCGGATGTAAACATAGTTTATCTACATATAAATATATGGTGAAATATATCTTTTTTTTTTTTTTTTTTTTTATCCTCACCCGAAGATATTTTTCCATTTTTTGTACAGATAGAATGGGAGAGAGAGAGAGTGAGAAACATCGACGTGAAGGGACACATCGAGTGGCTGCCACCCACACGACCAACCAGGGCCGGGGACAAACTGCAACCGAAGCACGTGCTCTTAGCAGGAACCGAACCCGGATCTCTCCGGACCGCTCCGGACCGCAGGCCGACGCTCCAACCGCTGAGCCAAACTGGCCAGGGCGAAATATATCTTAACTATTTCCCATTGAAGTCCAACATAAAGTCCTATCTCTTCGAAGCAATGTCTGGCCATTAAATGTGTACTTAGGCAAGGCAAAGAAAATTATGGTTTTCTTATTTTTCTTTTAAAATATTTATAAATCATGGGTAAAACATTATCAATTTCTATGAATTATTAAGAGGCAGCTTCAGCATAGTGATTAAATATACAGGTTCCAGAACCAGACTGAAGTGTGAATCCCAGTCTTGCCATTGGCCAGCTGCATGACTTTGGATAAATTACTTAACCTCTCTGTCCCTCGGTGTTTTCATCTGTAAAATGGGACCAAGATTCATTCCTACTTTACACAGTGATTATGAGGATTAAGTTAATAGAGTAGAGGCTGCTGCATAGTAAGTGCTCAATAAATGTTAGCTGTTATTATCAATGGTATCTTCATAAAGGTTACTGACCAGCTTCAACCCTAAAAGATTCTTATGTTCCACAAATGCCTTAAAAACACAAGGAATCCTCTTGGGAGCTGGGGAGGAGAAGGTAGCCATCCCCACACCCAATTTTAAGGCTGCAATCAGGCTGTCCTCTATGGGCCAGACCCGAATTGTAGCAAACTCTCCAAAGCTGTCCCTGGGGATAGAGATCGTGCCCATTTGCTTGCAGCAGCTGCCAAGAAAAGAACAAAGAGCACCATCTCCACTGAGAAGAAATAACTGTAGGAAGAACAAAACTAATTGAATCATAGCAATTCTAAGAATAAAAAAATAACAAGCAATATCAAGACTTTTCACAGTAATAGCCACACTCAGGACCTCTTCGAAACAAGAGACAGTGAGGGCTAATTGGCAGTGCACAATGAAAGGCACAGCCTTTACTTTGCTGAGCACGAGCATGATCCATGAACTGTGAACATCTTAGATGGTCCAACAGAGAAGGGAGCTCAACAATCAACTAGTTTCTATGAGTGAAAAAACGAAAATCCAGATTGCTCAAGTGACTTGCCCAGGATCACACAGCAAGTCAGCTCTCACGCCTGAACACTTTTATTTTTTAATCATATTCAAAGGAAGTGGGCCTTCTGCTAAATACTTGCTGTATGAGGCATGAAACCTAATTGGGATCAAAATCCATTTAGAATCTTAGGGTTAAAAGCCCAAGGAACGTGAAATATTACAGGCGTTTGGAAAGATACCATTTCAACATCACCCCCACTTTTTTCAAAAACTAGGGCTTCTCACCATCATCACCACCACACGCAAAATGACATTGAAAGAGAAAGTCATGATGCCTTAAAAAAGGAAATGGGGAGATAGGGCTGAAGAAATACCCATGTCTACAGCACTGATCAAACTGCCACTGGAATAGCAGAAATACTGGGCCATCAGCTGTGCTAAGCAGTCAAAAGCCAAGCATCCACTGGGCCAAGTTGGGAGAGGCCCCACTGGTGACACCCAGGCCTGTGACTGATGTGGAAGAGGAGAGAGTGGGTATCCCTGGCTGAGTGATTCAGCTGGTTGGAATATCACCCCATACACCTAAAGGTTGCGGGTTCAATCTCTAGTTGGGGTGCACACAGGAGGCAACCAACTGATGTTTCTCGCTCTCTTTTCCCCTTCCTCTCTCTCTAAAAATCAATAAAAACATATTTTTCAGGTGAGGCTTTAAAAAAAAAAAGAGGAAGTGGGTAAACAGTCTCAGAAGGCTTGCTTCCCAAGTTAGGATTAACAGCAGACTTTACAAACTGTCAGCCTCAGGCCACATGCCTCACTGGACAATTTGTGTTTGGCCTGCACAGTATATTTATTTGCATTTGAATTAGTTGCCAATATTTGCAAGTTAGGAGCTCTCACACAAATACATGGATCTCTAGCTTCTCTTGAAAAAAAAAAAAAAAACAGAACACCTGGCAACTCTGGCCCCACATTCTCACATGGCAACAACCAATTGGTGCTCAAGGAGCTGCCCCTCTAAACTTAGAATGCCACTCAAGGTTCCCCACCTTGGCCACTGCAATGGAAGAAGGAAGACTTCCTTTCTACCAATGTCTGGGCCAGCTCTGGGACAGTCACCTCCACTTGACTCTTAGGCTGGATCCTAAGACTCCATCCTGCAGGCTATGCAGCCGCCCAGCACATATTTGTCCTGAAGAAACCACATCAACATGATGATTTGTGTCCCAGGAAATCTCCCACAAGTCTAGCAGAACTGGTTCAGTGCTGTTGAACCCCATGCCAGTCACGGTTTCCCAGGCTGGTCCCCCAGAAGACAGAGGGAAAGCACACACTTCTAGGGGTAGACAGTGAAGATGACCCTGTGGCCACCAGAACACTACAAATCTAACCACCTCTCCATCCCTAGCTGTTTGAAGTGTGGGAATAGTGAGAAGTTGCCTCTAAGGGAGGCAGGGGCTGGGAGAGGATGCTGTGGACCCTTTCACACAAGGACATTTCCAAGACAGTTATTTAGAAGCTGTATCTATTTGAATGCAGTGGGAGCTTTGCCTTCATATAGAAGATAAAACTATGTTGGGATGGCTCAGGCTTTCTTGGGGGACGGGGGACAGAATGCAGCAACATGAGACTGTCCCACTTTTAGCTTGTCTGCATTGCAGGGTTGGTTGTTACAGACACCGACGAGCTCTCATGGAAGAATGCGGTGAGGAGCCAGAGAGTGCTCCCCGAGAGGAGCCCCCATGGAGGAGCACAGGAGAAGGCCATGGGCTGCAGAGGAAGCCTGCAGACAGGCAGCAAAACATGCAGGCTGCCAGGCTTGGAAATGCAGAAGGAGTGACTGTTTTAATCCTTGCCTCTCTGCTCACAGATCCTTGCTTCTGTCACTGGCAGAGACCTACAGGGCAGTGGCGGAAAGAGACCAACCCTCCCCTTTCCATCAGGAGACTCAGGCCCTACTCTCTTCTCTACCTCAAAAGAACTATTCCTCTGCACTCCCCATGTGGGCCTCAATTTGTATACCTGCCACAGGACAGAGTTAGGTTTTGAGGGCTGCAGGAGACCACAGATGTGAAAGCACCTTAGAGGTACAGCCAGACAGGTCACCTGTATGGATTCGGACACCCAGGAGGCCACCGAGGCTAGCCATGGCCACAGCATCCAGCAGTCAGAGCCCCACCACCACCCTTGCACAGCACAGCTCCAGGCCCAAAGCATCAGCTGACCCAGATTTCCCTAAACACTCATTCAAGTGCCCCCCTCATAGCTTCCACCACATCTGTAATCACTGTTCTTTATTTATATATTTCTTTCAAATTACTTACTTTTTTTTACTTTAATAGGCAATATTCATTACTTACTATAAATGTAAGTAACGTTTACAGAGGAAGTTCATAAAGTTCACCCTCACTGGTTTGGTACACTAGTTATATATTTCTAAAATACATTCAAACAAATTCATCACAAAAGAGTTTTCATCCTTGTGTTACAGAGGATAAAAGCTAGAGCCCTTCAAATAAGTTATGCTTGTTCTGCAAGGCATTTTTTCATGGAAATGAATTGCCACCGTTGGAAAGTAGAGAAATTTCATATATATAAGCATACACACACACACAGGTCCTAGTTTCTAGCTTCTCTTTAAAAATGGAAAAAAGGCTGGCACACACTGGGCCCACATTCCTGGAAGCACTCAGCTGCGCCTCTTCTGTAGGTCTGTCCTGTCCAGTGTGCCACAGATCCAACCTTTCCCTGCCATCTATGCCTGCTTCACTTGTTACATCACCTGTCTGGCCACATAGGTGTTAAAATTTGGGACCTTCACAAGTAACCTACGGTTATTTTTTGATCCACCAATTCCATGTATGCCCTACACTGGAAACTCTATGGGTCCCCAAAGCCTGACTACGGGTTTGGGGAGGCTCCTCGGCAGAGAAGGCTGACCACTCCCTCACCGCTCTGGGCAGTGTGCCTCGCTCCACATTAGGGCTTTTGGAGACTCGGAACAAAACATCATGTTGCTTGTGTCTTGGAAATCCTGTAACAAGCCAAAAGCAGGGGTCTCACAAAGCACACTGGAGCCCCTCGTAACCCAGAAAAAGAACAAGAGTTATTCCTCTCAAGCCCACCACAACAGTTGTCATTTTGTGCACACTTCAGGCTATCCAGACTTCTAAGGTGCATGCCAGAGTCCCAGCCTGGACGAGGAGCCCCTCTAGAACAGAGACAAAGAGACTGTGTGCTTGACTTCCCTCTCCCTTCTCAGCACCTTGCATGAGATTAGGGCCAAGGTAAAGTTTACTGAGAAAAGAAAAGCAGGCTAATGGTTTATGAAATAACAAGACTCAAAGCATCAGTACATCTCCACACAGTGAGTCTGTATTTTGGGTCACTGTGGAAGGAATGGCTGTCAGGACTGGAGGGGCTCTTGGAGACATTCTGGATGACCATCTTGCTGGTAGGTGTGAGGGCTCCCCTAGCCCAGACAAGCTCTGCACTGATGAGGGTAAGGCATGACCTTGAAGAAATGGAAACAGCTCAAGTTTTCAGCTGGCTGGTTTCTCTTTTCTTTGCAGAGTTTATAGAACAATCATTTCTGTTCATCTCACAACTCCATCCCTGACGCTGTGGGTTTAAGTGGAGTTGAGACTGCACCATCCACAGTGGAAAACTTTTCCTTCAGGAATTTATTTTTAAAGCTCTGAGAGCTCTGTTAGATGTATCCTGGATCAGACTGGAGAGGAGAAGGAGCCACGCGGCTCCCAGGAAGATCCCGAGCCTGGCACTCATGGCATTTCTCTGGTTCCTTCTGTGCACAGGGAAGATTTGGAGCAGCCGGGGAGAGGGCAACTGGCTCACTACACAGCGTCTTAGCATCCCAAACATTACCCTTGGAGATCACAGACCCACAGAACCACCAGGGCCCTGGGCTCCGAGAGAGAAAGAGCTCTCTGTCAAAGTCGCACTTTGAGACAAGGAAATAAATCTCCCAACCCCAAGTCAAGGCTCTGTTCTCCACGCTTAACAGTTCAACCTGTGCCTCAACAGGCAGCAGGGGTTTTCTTCCTGGGAAGTTCTGAAATGGACCAGTGCTAAGACCTGGAGCCTGGGCTTGCAAGCAAGTGACATTTGAAGGCCTGCTCAGGACAATTCACTGTTAAGTGCTCCACCCACAGAGTGAGGTAAAGAGAGTGATGGAAATCACTCTGGACTCAAAAAACTCTCAAGCAGCCAGGGTGTTGGCATGGCCTCCTCTCCCTGGGGCTAGCAACACAGAGATCCATTGGCCCCACAAGCATTCCTCTTGTCCAATGGCCCCTAAGGAGCCTTGGTAAACAGGGAGCCAGATCTTCAGAAAAGGCACACATGAAGCCTCCAGGATCCTCCACTCCACCCAGATCCCTATCCCCCACCCCCGCCCCCACAGGCAGCAGCCTCTCACCTGTTGATGGAACTGACGCTGGGCACAGTGTCATTGTCGCACACTCGTTCTGCCAGCAGCCGGTCCCTGATCTCCCAGGCAAACATGGTGGGATTTTGACGTTTATACTCAGCGATTTTTTCCACCACTTTGGGCGTGGCGACCTTTGGTTTGGATCCTCCAATTACCCCAGGCTTGATGCTCCCTGTCTCATAATACCTAGGACCAAGGAGAAAGGAGCTTAGCCATGAGGAACCAGCAAAAAAGATTTTGGCAACAAAATAACAGGCTTCTCTGTTCAGGAAACATCAAGATCTGCTCCGTTCAATAAAGTAGCCACTAGCCATGTGTGGCTTCCAAACATTTAAAATGTGGCTCATTTGAACTGGTACATGAATGGGTACATGGTGTAAACACACACCAGACTTTCAAAACTTAGCACAAAAATAATGTAAAATATCTCATTCATAATTTTTATATTGGTTATATGTTGAAATGAGAATATTTTTTATGTATTGGGTTAAATAAAATATATAACTAAAATTAATTGTACTTGCTCCTTTTTCCCTTTTTTAAATGTGTTATTAGAAAATTTGACATTTCATATGTGGCTCACATTTTATTTCTACTGGACATTGTTGGTCAGGATACTGTGCATTCATTTATTCCTTTACGTTTATCTACCATTTTACAGTTTACAGAACACTTTTAAGTCAGTTTTCCCTTTTGATCCCCACATCAGTTCTAAAGCACCTAAGTGTTTCAAATGAGTGAATGAATAAATGAACGGATCCCCCTACAGGTATAAAACAGAGATCCACGGAGGTTAAACGGCTTGCTCGTGGTCATACAGGACCCACTGGCCAAACCAGGACTGCAGCCCAGCCTCCTGAGCTACAATTTCCCGGGAAAGTGGGTTTGTACCTTTAATTTGCCAGCTCTCCCATCCCCTAGCAGATTCATCTGCCTTCTGTAAAACTGCCCCCTAAAATGCAACTTATTTCTCCATAAGAAAAACAACAACAAGAAGAATAACCCTGGTGTAAAATCAGAGTGTTGGATTCCAGAATTAACTGAAAATATAACTCAAAACCTAAGCAATAAAAAAAAAAAAACAAAAAAAAAAACCAACCACAAGTCACGGCAGCTCTTCCAGGGACCTCCCCTGAGGTAAATCGCTGTTTCTAAGGGCATTTCCATGCTATCAGCTCTTCCTCGTTAACGCAAATAGGATGTCAGGGTTTTACAGCAAAACCAAGACCAGGGAGAGGAGTGCCATGAAAGATCATTTCAGGGGGAAAAAGGACTTGATTCCTTCTCTAAATCTGAGCCTCCACGGGATGTCTCTCTCAGCGTTTACAGAGGAATTCCTGACTTCCTTTTACAAAGGAGATTATCCTCCAGTTGAAATTTCTTTTTAACCAGAAAGACATTTTAGAAATGACTGGTAATTTTAAAATCTAACAAGAGTTAAAACTGGTAAGGGAAAGAGGTGATCCTTTCATGGGATGGTTAGGAATGATTACCCAGAACAACGACTGGTTACATTGAAAGAGATGTTGAAATTCTCAGCCTGGGTAAGTCTGGCTAGGTTAGTGAGAAACAGATGAGATCATTCGGAAGCAGTGATGTGGAAGTGGAAATTCTATTTTTCATTGAGAAGAATGAGTCATGTACAAATCTGGACCATAAGGCAAAACTCAACCTATCCTCCTTCTTTTTGTAATTGCTAAAAAAAAAAAAAAGAAACACCTATTAGTCACAAACATGTTTTTAGAAATATCTAAGAAAACACTTTTTTGCCGGAAGTCTAGGAAAGTATCTAAATCAAAGCACACAGCAATTTCTGCAGCCTCCAATTATCCTTTCCATTTTACAATAGAAAGTCATTTGTTAATATCAACATAGCAACTTGTTATTTAGGCACAGGCTAAGGTTTGCATGGCACCAATCCTGAGAGGCCAGTGGAGTCTTACAGACTGGAAAACCAATGACTGGAAGACTAAGTGACATGCGCAATTCCCTTCTGCAAGTTAGGGGCAGCCCCAGCTTTTAAACCTGACTCTGAATCCAGAGTTCCTCCCACGAGAGCAAACTGCTGCTTTAGTTGTAAAAATGTAAATAATAATATTAATAACAATACCTTGTAATTGTAGAAAGATTTACTGTTTACCAGGAATTTTAATGTGCATTTTTTCTTTCATTCACTCACTGGATCAATAGTTACTGAGTGCCTGTTAGTAACAGGCACTGTCATGGGGCAAGGGTCACAGACACACAGACAACCCTATGCTGGGTACTCGACATAGGTTAGTTGAATGGAACTGCAATATTCAGGCAGCAACTCTGAAAAGGGGACAGGATGAAGGTCCCCCAACCCCAGCACTTGTCCTGTTTGCATGGCTGGGGTGGCAGGGCTCAGGCTCCCCACCCAGCCCACCTGAGCAGTGCCAACCACTGGAGGCTATGCTCGTGACAGGAGAAATCTGTCTTCCTTTTGACTGACACATGGGCCAGGCACTTAGAAGGCAACACTGACACTCCAGAAAACGCCAACTGGCAAGAGTGTCAAGTGAAGATTCAAACTAAATACCGCCCTTTCATCTCAGCCAAACAGTCATGCATGCCTTTAACTTACACACACACTACAGACGAACAGCAGCCAACAACGCAAGTGTAGCTCAGTGCAAAGAGCATCAGTTTGAGAGCAAAGGGGTATAGATGCTGGTCAGTGGCTCTGACACTAACTTGCTGTGTGACGTTGGCCAACTCACTTAGACTCTCTGGGCCTCAGTTATCCCCTTTGTATAATAAGGGGAGGATGTTTGCCCTGCCTGCCTTGCAGGGCCATTGTGACAACAGAAATGTAGAATGGTTAAGAAAAAAACTTTGCAAAATATAAAGAGCATGTGTTGGGGATTAAAACCTTGGAGTGTTTATTACTACGTAACATACCACCCAATTCCAAGTGACCTGAACCTCCCAGACAGGCTCTAGTGAAAGAAGACAACAGCCAGGCTTTCTGGGTGGATTTAAATGGGCTTCACATGCCACCAGGCTGTGCCTCTCAAGCCCCTCTGGAACCTTGAGCTCTGTGGACTGAATGCCCACACTCCTGGCAGACGGCCACCTTCCCAAGATGACGGGGTCTCTGCCAGCCCCAGGAACTCTGCTTGCCTTGCCATGCAGCCTCTGAAAACCATGGCCACCACACACCACACGCTCTCTACTATCTGTCACCCCGTGTGCGCCCATCAAATTCTTCAGTAACCAAAAAAAAAAAAAAAAAAAAATCAGTGGATGGAAAAGCCCCAGTTCAGATATTCCCAGTCACACTGTTTTAGGGCTGAACTTGTTTCTTAAAAGGCAGTTCTAATTAGAGTGACATTTTGTCCACTGTGGTTCTTAGTTATGAAAATAATGAGCTATGAAATTCCAATTTATTGTTGACAACTTAAACGGCCAGGCACCAGAGCGGCGCGTAACTTCCAAGTGCCACTCTACCTAGTGACAAATCTATTCTAGGTCATGAAAGGCTGCTGGCTGGGCCTGGGAGGGTCCCCATCCCCTTCAGTCTCCAGAGGAGATCTGGAGGGCACCGAGGCACCAGAACATGAGGAGCCGGCATCTAGCCGGCCCCTCTGAGAAGGGCTCAGCATCTCGCTCTGAGAAGATTTCAAACAGCAAGCAAAATGTCGGCTCAGCAAAGATGTCTCAGCAAAAACAAAGGAAAGACCTCCTTTCTCTCTCTCTCCCTCCGTACAATGAAGAGGCTTCCCAAGAAGATAGCTAACATCCATTTGGCTCTCGGAGTCTGATGCTGAGATAGTCTAAAATATTTCCTGTCCTTCTTCTATTTTTGTCTTCATTTCTCTTGCTGTTTCTCTTTTTTAAATCAATCGTTCTCCTTTTCGCTTTGTCCTCCCCCCCCCCCTTTCTCTTTGCTCTATCTCTTCTCTATTTTCTTCTACTCTCACCCTCCATTCAAGAAAACCACCATCTAACAAGAACAGCGGCTGATCTCCGGCCTTCCTCCTTGAATTCTGCCTGGGGCTCGTTTGCTCCTGAGTGCTAAACAGGAGCGAAACCCACAGCCTCCACGGCTGAGATGACCCGAGATGGGCAGGCGGATGAGGAATAAACACAGGGATCAAGGTCCCTAAAGGGCTGCCAGATCTCTGGCCCTGAACTTCTTCCTTGGCCTCCAGTAAGGGTCCCCAAGGTTAGAAACTGTCGTTCCCCTCCATCTGAAAGAATTTCTTAAATTCCAGGGGATGGAAGGGAAAGAGCAAGCAGAAAGCCACAATGTCACTGACACACTTCACAATATTTATTTCCTATTCAGGCATCTGTTCTCAAGCCATAATGCAAGCTACAAGACAAAGGTTGTTCTCTGACCCGGGGAGAGAAATCTTGCGAGCATTGAACAGCTAAAACCGGAGACTGCTCCTGGCTGCCAGGGCAAACCTCTAACAACTTCACATGCCTGGAAACAAACCTGTGACTTTGGTTTTGGAGTATGGTGAGATGCACACGGTCTGGGGATCGTTGCACTCTCTTCCCAGCCCGGGTATACTGCCTGGCTGACTAGACCTGGGTCAGTCACTTTGCCTCTCTAGGTTTGTTTCCTCGTCTCAAAATTGCTTCCCTAGATGGTGCTGAGTCTCACCCGAGAACATCAACAGGAATGCTAAAAGGCTGCACAGCCCTCTGGGAGAATCAACATTGTTAGTATTTTGCTTGCAGCAAATCATTGGGTCAAGTGGCAACTTTCAAATGTCAGACTTGAGAGTTAGTGTCTGTTTGAGGTTTTTTCCCCCTCTAATTTATTATATACCAAGGATGCCTGTCACTACGAAGGAAACAAAACACAGAAGGAAAATACTGCAGCCCAACATAAGGTTGATGATAACCCAAAACTAAAAATGACAGCTGACTTTATCAAATGGAATGTGCTTTTTGAAACCATCAAAATGAAACATTGAACTCTGGTAATTTTGGTGATTTTAATTTGTGGATTTTCCACCCAGCCCTGAGTTATTGGAAAAACTCACCAGGCTTTCAGAAAACATGACAGCCCTCCTGACTGAGGCCCCACGCCACATATCACTGGGGTTTGCCAGGACTACTTTGAACTGAATAGACTCAAAAGGGCTTTGCACACTCTAAAGTGCTGTGCATGTGGGTGAAGTGCCACAATGATTCTCACTGTGACACTGGTACACTGGACAGCTGTTGGGTCATGTTTTAGGTCGTTATTTGAAAAAACAAGGGAAGCCGGGAGCTCCTGCCTTTCTTTACCTGCCAAGAATTTTGCTGACACAACCATGGCTGACCCGAAGCTGCCTGGAGATGTCGCAGGGCCTGACACCTTGATGAGCAAGTTCCACTATCCTTTGGCGGACTACATCCGGGAGTGGCCGTCCATTCACAAAAACACCCCCAAGCTGATTCACTCCTCCATGTCCTGAAACAGATCAGAAACAGAAAGCAAGGGACAAGGTGGTTAGAACCAGTCACATAGAAGGTGAAGAAACGTTATGAACACTAAGTGCCCCTCAGATCAGAAATGGCCGCAGGCTGGACATCTCGAGCCTGGAGTCTGATCATGCAGATTACATAAACACCTCAAATTGCTTTGTAAAATTAACCTTAGCCTTTGTCAGTCTTCAGCCAATCAACTGGGCTATTGAGGGCAAGCATCTCCATACTATGTTCCCTTTAGTTATTAGCATTTTCCTTGCAATTATTTTTTAACAATGGAATATGTGAAGACCTTTATGTCTACTAGGAACACAACTTATTACATACATGATGCTGAGGTCTAAGAAAGAGCCTCTGGAGAAAAAACATTTTAAAATATATCATATTTAAAGAGATTTTTAGAAATAAAACTCTTGGAGTCTGGACAAGGCACACAGAAATGGCACCTCGCAAGGGGAAGGAAAAGAAGGAAAAGGAGGTCATTAGCCTTGGACCTCAGGTGGCTGAAGGAGAAAATGTTTTTGGTGTCTGCCACATCCTTGCATCCTTCAATAACACTTTTGTCCATGTCACTGATCTTTCTGGCAAGGAAACCATCTGCCGTGTGACTGGTGGGATGAAGGTAAAGGCTGACCGAGATGAGTCCTCGCCATATGCTGCCATGTTGGCTGCCCAGGATGTGGCCCAGAGGTGCAAGGAGCTGGGCATCACTGCTCTTCACATCAAACTCCAGGCCACAGGAGGAAATAGGACTAAGACCCCTGGACAAAGGGCCCAGTCAACTCTAAGAGCCCTTGCCGGCTCGGGAATGAAGGTTGGATGGATTGAGGATGTCACCCCGATCCCCTCTGACAGCACCTGCAGGAAGGGGGGTCGCCATGGTCACTGTCTGTGAACGGGACTCCTCAAATTATTGTTTTCTGTTAATAAACGGCCTTTGTGTGAGCTAAAAAATAAAATAAAATAAAACTCTTTCTTTTAACAAATATCTTCAAAAGTGAAAGGGACGACCCCAATAAACCTAGATCTCAAGGAAAAAAATGTTTGTTTGTTTGTTTGTTTTTAATCAGCAATCTAATTAAAGGCTATGTACTTTTTAAAAATTTTAAATAGTATCTGCATTGTACTGAGACAAACCCAACCACTGCCGTGGTAAAGACACTTTCTTTAAGAAGGTGAGTCCCAATAAAGCTGGGGGAAACATAAACAAAAAGGGTGAGGCTGATGTGCAGATCTGACCACTGTACCCTCTCAGCGCACACACAAGAAATGGATCAGAGGATCACATTTCACTCTCCTGCACTAGGATTTGCTATAAATGTTTCCCTAAAAATTTTGGAGTGTTTTGCAATTGACAAACAGCTATAAGTTGGTTCAGGGGAAATAAAGAAGCCGAAGAAGGCTTTTTGAGTCCCAAGTTTTACAAAGGCTCTGGGACAAATTTTAAGTAACAAGAGTCTGGGAAAGAATCTCCTCCACCCAATAAGCTTTCTTCTCTTACATCCAGGTCCATCTGGAAGGAAACAGGGATACAAGTAACTGAAGAGCCAAACCAGTAAACACAGGGGGTAGCACCATTATTTACCTTGTAGCTATTAATTAGCCACTGACATCACTGAAAACTGTCAAAAACCAAAAGCCAAAAGCCAAGTTCAAGCATTTACCAGTGCTGCTGGCAGCTCAGAGGGTGGGGGGAATAATCTAAACCAGGATTTGCCTGGGACTGGGCTGTATCAGGGAAGCCAGGGCATCTCAGAGGTCTCTCTCTCACATACACACACTTCAACTCTAAAACATAAAATAGCCACCTCATCTCAGCTCTCCACCCCCTTCCCAGCGTTCAACTACTATTCAGAGTCATGAACAACATCTGAGATGGAGAGGAGAAGGGTACCCATAACATAACCTATTTCCTAAAACTGCCAAACCAGTTCACTGAAGATTCCCAGGAGAGTTCGAATTGAATATTTTCTAAATTTCCAACCTCAGGCTGATTTCAAGGAAAAACACCATTTTATAGATAATGACAGTACTTAATTCTAGTTCTAAACTGAATTTCTCTCTGATTTTAAAAAAAGAACTTTAGTTGGTTTTGATTGTTCTAAAACACTCCACACACAAGAAAAGGAGAACATTCTGAATAGGATTTTACAGTTAGGAACAGGACTGCTTAGTTAACCTGAAACCAAAAGGCTGCAGCCACCCCTGGTCAAGGTCTTAAGAAAGCTTTGTTCTGGGGTTGGGAACACCTAATGAAAAAAGGTTGTATGGATCTTTCAAGAACAGGCTGGATTTAAGAAGAAAGTAAATTCAAAATTGGTACAAGCTCATCTGAAAGGATGAAAAAGGAAACCAAAAGCACTCAGCACACTTTTGAGATAACCTGTTAGTCCAGGCATTGTAGCCCATCTGCGATAGCCTGTGCCCTATACCACTGGCAATTTAAACTTTCTGCCCAAGACACAGTGTGAACCTTCAAAGGACTTAAATTTCAAGAGCAGTCCTGTAGGACATTTGTGAGCTTTGGGGGCCATTTGTATCATGGATTCTCTATGTGACAGCAAGCCCCTAAACCCTATAGTCCTGACCACAAAGATTACCAATACTCTTCCTGAATCTGATCCACATATCCACAGCTGACACCAGACCCAGGGTGACTTGGGAGCCCCCTGGAAAGTGCCCCAAACCCACTTGGCTCTCTCTGCCTCCATCATAGTCTTATCCAATAAAGCATTTCCAGGGTAGTAAGGAGGTGATTTACAACTGTGATCTGTGAAGGCAATGTCTCCCACTTATCCTGAGATTAGAAAAAGTAAAACCAGATGCCTGAGAGAGAGGAGGTAGGATAGGGAAAGACAAGAGGAAAAGTGAGGTGTAAGAGGAAGGCTGCAAAGAGCTGGAACTAAATGATTCAGACAGCAAGAGCAGAGACTGGAAGGGTAGCCTCAAGTTAGAAAGGCAGAGGAGGAGAAAAAGAAATGGATGTGCTGGAACAGATGAAGAAAAGAAAGGTGAGCATGGTGTACAGAGGGAAGCAAGGAGACCAGAAGAGAAAATGGAGGAAGCCCAGTAAGAAGGAATCTGGAGTACGGGGGACTTCTGGGGAGGGAAACTTTGTTCCCTGGAATCCCAGCTCCAGCCCTGCATCTTCTCAGAGAACATAAGTCCAGCCTCTATGTCCTATGGGCTCCAGCTAGGTAACAGTTCATCCCATAGGGGGGTGATGGGGACAGACACAGACACCGTTACACTTTTCAAGGCCAAGTAGAATTTACAGAGAGACCGACACAAAGATAGATGGAAACAAATCAAGGCAAAGACCAAGAAACAGACACAGATACAAGAAAAACAGCCCTGCCCCCACAGGACTGACAGAAAAGGGTTTGGAGGGGGGAAGTGGAGGGAAAAGAAGGGTTGAATTGCATATGCCCCTGAGGTCTTTGTGGCTCTGATCTGGAAGGGGCAGTCTCCACAGATGTTTCTCAGGCCCTGATAAGAATATGCTTCCCACCAGGGGCCCTGTCCACACCCATGGCCAGGCACAGGGTCTTAGAGAAAGAGTCTCTGCTGACTCAGTCAAAGATTGAACTCCAGGACTTATAGGACCATTGAAATTTCTCTTAACATCACCCAAGAAGATGCATGAAAGGACACACAAACATGCCAACAGGAACACAGGGAAGAGCAGGGATGAAATTTCATTAATGGACTCTCTAAATGACAGACAGGTGCTGACACACATTGACAGTCAGGCCATAGACACAGATATAGTTAAAACAGACAAAGCACCTTGCACATGTTGTATACCCACCCAGACGGTCCACTCGCCTCTTTCTGGAACCTAAGTCCCTCACCCTCCTCTTCTGTAAATCCTTGAAGACCCAAGAACCAGTTCCAGGTTTGCCCATGTGAACTTCTTGTCAGTCCTTTTGTCTCTCTGGCCTCAATATCATCCTCCATATAATGGGTGTAACTAAAGGCTTAGTGCTTTATAACTGATAACCATACCTGAGAAAGGGAAACATCTGGGGAGAGTTGTAGGGGACATTGTGCTGATGAAAGGGATGAGTCTGGAATAGGGGAACTCAAAAGCCCATTTCCAGGCAGTGCCTACCCCTGTCCCTCATACCACCTCCGCCACAGAAAGCTGTGCTGTTTCAAAGAGGGGTGGGGAGTAGGGGTGTGAAACTGACCAGGGCCAAGAAGGGAGGTGAGACTTGGTCTGAGCCCCTGAAACCCCAATGACCTTCATACCCCACTCGCCACCTCCAATCACCAACAAATTGAGGCCCCAAAGCCGACCTACATTGTGCAAGCAAATAGCTCTGGACGTCAGAACGAAGGGCACTTCCAGAGAAGCCAGCTCCGGAAGCTAGGCTGGCTGGGGCCCAGCCCCCACTGTGCTGCCAGGGATTTGAAAATGGGAGGAGGGAGCACTTGTCTAGGAGGGGGCAGATGAAGGCCAGGACAAGAAGGGACAGAGACACAGGCATTAGCGCTGGGCTAACAGCACCTGGAAGTAGCTGCCTTCTCCACCTTCATGCACAGCTGGGAGACTACCGGGTCTGACGCTATCTCCCCAAAGGCTTGTGCAAGATCTCTGGGGCGCCTCTCTGCGCAGAAGGCAGTGAGGGTCTGTTGATTCCCCCCTGCAAGAAGCGCAGGGGCCAGCCCTCCCCATTTTGTCCCCCAATCGCTCCTTGGTTGAGCTAAGAGCTTGCCTGCCACAGTATTGACCCCAACTCGTTTGTTTTCTGGCTCAGATCAGAGTCTCTACTGAGCCCAGCTCAAGTGTGCATAGTAGACGGCTGCGGGGGGCACTGGGGTCACCAAGGACTGGAAACTGTTTTGGCACAGGCCTCCAAAGATGAGGAATCGTTTGGGCTAGGACCAGAGCAAGCGGCTTCTCTCTGCTCAAACCTCGCACAGCTTTGGTGGATTACCTCCGACTCGGGAAACTGACACAAAGAGAAAGTGACCTGC